TTTATTCTTCTCGGATGTAGAAAATGAAGTAACGGTAGCCAACTACAGCTTTCCGCACTCAATATTGGCCCAACGATTCATCATACAAATACATGACAATATGTGACGTCACCGTTTGAACATATCAAAAATTAGGCATCTTCCCCCACTTACCATCTTACCCCGAATCACTCTATGCGTTGCAGTCAAACCAGTTTTTAGTTAGGATGCATTTTAACTAGTTAACATTAATTTATACTGGATGTCTTTGTTAAAACCCGTTTTGTCTAGTTGAAACTAGTTTATACTGAATGTCTTTGTTAAAACCCGTTTTGTCTAGTTAAAACTAGAATTTACTGCTAGTTAAAACTAGTTTTAACTAGACAAAACAGGTTTTAACAAAGACATTCAGTATAAACTAGTTTCAACTAGTTAAAACGCGTTCTAACAAAGACATTCAGTATAAACTAGTTTCAACTAGTTAAAACGTGTTCTAACTAAAAACGGGTTTTGACTGTAACATATATATATATACCAAACAAAAACATCTGAGATGTAAAAAGTTGCGCCAAGTAAAAACTGATGGCAATTTAGATGACGGTGAAAATTTTTCTTAGGTAAAGATAGGAAGTAAAATGTAGAAAAAATAATACAGGTAAAATCTTGTGGGTACTGCTTTGAAGTGCCAAGCTTATCTTTACCAAAGAAAAACTCCTAAGAAAAATTTATACTTGTCTGTAGAGCAAAAAAATGGGAAAATAGTTTTCCTTTTCTGCTTTATACAAAATCATCACTTTAATGTATGATGTTAAGTTGAGCAGACCAGTCAAACGGAGTAAAGCTCTTTGATGTTGTGGGAGACATACCCTTCCACAGGCATGCATTGCATTGTCAACATCTGATGTAATTTTGTTCAAGATAATTTCCAGTACTTATAAATGAAATGTAAATTTCATGTATTTGTTGGTTATTAGATCTTGTTAACTGTCTTTTATTTTGAGAACATGGAAAATAAAACAGCACACCAACTTATGATGTACTGTACATGCACGTGCAATGATAAATATATATAAAGGAGGAGGAGAGAAAATTGGAAATATCTGTTTACTTTATAATATATCTCAACAAAAAAGTCAAAAACATCCTCTGAGAAATTTACATACCAATCAGATGTTTTGTCACTTGGATCAGTATCAACAAAACACAAAAATCTCTAGATTGAGATATATAGGATTTTGGGTTCTTTATGGTTGGTCCCACTCTCTTCTTGATCTTTTGACCATATTAGCTTCATATGGTCAAAAGATCACTCCCATCCCTCTCCAGAAACTCAAAAATAGTTTGTGTCTGATGCAATTCTTTAGTTTCAGTTACTAGTGCAATATTGTAATTATTATAAATTACAAGTTTACTTTTAGAAATGGCACAGCATCACTGGTAGAATTTTATTTACATGAAATTAAGTAGTTTAGTTCTGAAGTTGTAAATTAAATTTAACCTCCTAATTACATTTTTCCTCTGTTTTAGTTTCCTTATTGGAGGGGACCAACCAGAGGAACCTGGTGGCATTTCTTTCCTCTGGACATAACGTATTCTTTCCTCGATGCCTACTTAAGGTGCAAGTTTAAGATGACATCGAGGAAAGAATAAGTTAAGAGGGACTTTAAGGATGGCCATTTAATGTTCTATTCACTTCCTTTTTTCCCTTTGACTCAATTTTGTCAATGTGATCAAATTCAATTCATGTTTCCGAGGAAAGCATACATTTTTTGTATGCTGATAATGCAATAATAAATTCAATGTTATTAAAAATGCTCCAATAAAATTCTGTAGTGGAAATTTTGTTTTACAGAGATTTGTGGAAGACAAGTTACTATGCCTGCAGACAAAAATTTTGGCAGCTTCTAGAAACAAAATTTGTCAACTGCAACCGTGTGATGGGGATATAAAAGCATCCGACATTTGGTCAGTTATTCTTCTACACCAGCAAAATCTTAATTATTTTGATCTCTTGTTGTATACAGTTGCAGTATTCTCCCTTAGAAAACATTTTACATTGTCAATTAACCCTTAACTGGTTTTGTGGGGGCTGCGCAAAAATACTATGTGATAACTCTCAAGACTGAACTACGTAATTGCATTAAAATGTTCCTGAGTCTTAAAAATAGAAGTGATTATATTACCTGTGGTTTTTTAACAAATGATAGTTAGAGGCTATAAGAGTTATTTTTGTAAGATTAGTTTCTTAAGAATAAGAAAAAACATTACTTTTGTTAGAAACTTACAATAGGGTAGATTTTCATATTGTTGAAAAAAGCAAACACCAAAAGTTAAAACAATTTTGTGNATGTGATAACTCTCAAGACTGAACTACGTAATTGCGTTAAAATGTTCCTGAGTCTTAAAAATAGAAATGATTATATTACCTGTGGTTTTTTAACAAGTTATAGTTAGAGGCTATAAGAGTTACTTTTTTGTAAGATTAGTTTCTTAAGAAAAAGAAAAAACAATATCTTTGGTAAAAACTTACAATAGGGTAGATTTTCGTATTGTTGAAAAAAGCAAACACCAAAAGTTAAAACAATTTTGTGATCTCTTGTAATAATCAAATAAAAAAAATTATATGAATAAATAATAGTTTATTATACTAAACAGGGGTTCCATTTAGCATTTATGCACTTTTAAACTGTCATATTGTTCAAATTTGCTCTCTAGAGGCAAATTTTGCTTGGGGGCTGCGCAGCCCCCACAATACCAGTTATGATTGTAAAATTTACGAAACCAGTTAAGGGTTAAAAATAATAAAACAATACTTGTGCTACAAAGCTCAAACTATTGACTAGTATGCAATTATCTTTAACTGGCTGATCGATCAGCTAAATGATTCCTGCAATCAGCTAAACTGGAGAGAGAACAAAAATGCAACAAGTATTTTAAAAAGATTTCTTTCAGAAATGCCTGTTCTCAATGTGCACACCATACAATACAAAATATTGGAAACCAGAATAAATTATACATTAAATGTTATTCATTTAGATTTAAAGCATAAGTGAGAAGTATGCCTGCCACAATTTCATCATTTATAGCAGTTGATGAAGTTGTGCCAGACTAGATTTTTTCCTTGTTTTCTTATATACTGTATTCATTACTGTAACTTAAGTATGTCTTTTACAGAAGTGATATCTAAAGTAAAACTGGTTCACTCACTAAAATAACCACTTACCCGGAGCAAAGAAAAACAAATAGAGGAATAAGCCCAAGAGCATCAACCAAGAATAATTAGAGGGACACCAATCGTAGGCCCAAACGTCTTCCTTGGTGTGGTTGGAGCAACTTCCCACATACGAGCTGTCCGTCTTGTTTTCGTTCACTCGAAGACAGGTGCCATTGGTAAAATCCGAAGACGGAAAGCAATAACCACATTCCTTCAACAGAGTGCATTCATTGCAGGTTCTAAGAATGAAAAACTATAGATTAAAAAGTAATCTAATTTTTATTTCATAAAATACTTGTTAAAAAAACAATGCAACAATACATCAAAATTTGTTAAAAAATTAAACAGTCTAATTTTGCTACAAATTTTATATGTTGTTCTATTTAACTCTTCCTTTCAATCTTTTTTCTTTGAATTTACAGACACTTCAAATAAAATTAACTCACGTGGCATTGAAACATTGAACGTTAGTGTCGTAAATGTTGTGATTGAATATTCTTGGACTCTTTGCAGCTGTTATGTGGAATCCAATAGCCAACAAGAGAAGGCTAAAGATGACACCTTAAAGATAGTAACACAATCTTATTACTGAAGAAAATAGTATAATTGTTATTATATAGGTTAATAAAACAGAGACATGATCATTTACAGTTCTCAAATTAAGTGCATAATATTAATAATTATAAAATATAATTTTAGATGGAAAAAATGGTTTGGAATGGATTCAAACCAATGACTTGTCCACATGTGGGTGTGTAGGCAGTTACGCTGTCAGAACCAACAAACTATTGGATTCTCTCTCTATGCCACATGGCAATTGCATTTGCTTCTAGTAATTAATTTCTATCTCAACAATTAGAATCATCAATTCAAATCTTGCTATCGAGACTTGCACTAATAAGATCAGCAGATGATAATTCAAAAGTGTACAAAGATTGCTCATGTATATGTTGTTGTTGTGTGGGATAAAGCAGTAGTTCCAAAAGTGGTCACTACTGCCACCTTGGAATATTGAGTAAATCTAGGCAATGAAATAAAGCAAAGGAGTGATGGGGTGGCACTGGAGACAGGATTCTGACCAAACAGTGACCATAGGTGAGGGTAGGGGTCATTGGCAACCTTTCCCTTTCCTCCATTAAAATGGGTAAGAAGAAACATTGTTCTCCATTTCTGGAAACTATTAAATGCAATGTACGGTAAGGACACAAAATATGAGGTTCGTAGAAAAGTTTTTCTAAGAATATTTCCAAGCCTTTCTCACACAAGGGAAAACAGGTTGGGTGCATTGGGTGTAAGTTTATGGAATCAAAAGGGGTGGTGGCTCAGAAATGTTTGGGAATCACCGGGATAAAGTAATGCAACATAACATGCAATTGCTGACTTTTTAGGGAAATGCTTCTTGTGAAAACTTTTCTGTGGAAAGCTGGACTCTATTTAGGTGTTAGACACATGAAAACAAAAAAGTTCAGCATAGTTCATTGGTCAAGCACAAACTTAGGACCAACTATCAAGACCATCTGGCCACTGGTGGTTCTTATACAGGGTGGGGCAGAAAGGACAGACGTTTTTGAAATGTCTAGAACTCATCTCTAGAAGCAGTGACAGATGTGTGGCAGGTAGCATGAAAGTAGTGAGGCATTGTCTTTTCAGTTGAAAGCATGGAGCCGTGGACAATAAAACACCATGTCTTTGCATATGACTGTTGCCTATGATTGTTTCCTCAGTCATACACAAGGAGGATCACTCAGTCATACACATCTGATGGTAATAAATTTCTGTATCCTTGCGTATGATGGAAATGTATTCCCATCAGATGTGTGGTTTCAACAGGATGGGACCACAGCCCACACAGCTAGAATATCAATTGACATTATTTGTCATCTCTTCCCTGGTTGCCTCATTTTCAGGTTCAGTGACATTCATTGGCCTCCTCAGACATTCATGTGTGATTATTTCTTGTGGAAACATCTCAAGGCACGTGTATACGAGCATAAGCCCATTCTTTGCAAGAACTGAAAGAAGCTATTCACATGGAAGTTGCCAAAATCGCCTCCAGAAATGCATTACTGATAACAGACACCACATGGGAGATGTTGTTTTCCACACTTGGTTTTGTAAAATGCTATTTCAATACAAACTCACATCTTCCAACAAATATCTTTTGTAGTAACAATTACAGATGCAATTTTTTAAAAACTGTCCATCCTTTCTGCCTATCCTGTATATGTATTATATACACTGAAATTAAGTCTAATATCCTCCTAATAAATATTGAACAAATATATCCTTTTTTTTAAGAAAAATGCTAAACTAGGGTGATTACAAAAACTTAAAAATAATAAAACATATTTAACAATAATACTTACATTTATTCTCTAAAGCAATCAAATTATGGAAAGCAAAATTATTAGTGTATATATTAGAATGAACATAATTACTCTACCTGCCAAGCTTCCAAGCGTAAGCAACCTTCTTCCCCACTTCTCGACAAGCAACAGACCAATGAATGTGCAGACAAAATTCACGGATGCCGTGGCAGAGGCCAGCCAGATGGCCTGGGAAGGATCGTTGTAACCTGCCATCTGAATTATTGTTGCACTGTAATACCTAAAATGTCACATAAAACAAAGTATAATTTGAACAAATATAATGCAAACAAATATAATGCTTAACATGATAAGTTCTATATTATTTTATTGTTAAACAATATCCAGAACATCATATAACTTAAAGATATTAATTTTTATGAGAAACTACTCCAAATTCCTTAGAAGTATAAAAACAGAAATATGCTTTGTTGGAATAGATAATACGAGGGTCATTCTAAAAGAAAAGAATGTTTTGATCTGACATGCCGCACAGTTCTCCCACCAATCCCAACCGCCATGTCATGCACCTTCCCATTCCTTCATGCCAGTCTGACGCTAACAGCGAGCCACAATGGTTGTTTACTGTTTATAGTGTGACTTTGAAATGTGTGACAAAATAAAAACCTCACCAAGTGTTCGTAGTGTAATACACTTTGAATGTGAAAAAAGTCCACCCTATTGAAATTTACAGACAGATAACTGAGGTTTGCGGTAATGTGATGAATGAAGCTTCAGTTCAAAAATGGTGCATCATGTTTAATGATGGGCGAATGAATATTTATGATGATGAATGCTTGATTCGTCAGTCACAACCTTCAGTTGTAACTGACAAACTCAAATCAAAGAACACGTCTATCCTATTGTATTTTTTATTCAACAGGATAGACGTTTCACTATACCACGTAGATGGATTCAGTTCATTTTTTCCTGAAATTTCAAGAACAGTTCTTTTTGGCATTGTTAGTGGTGATTTGGGCTTCAGAAAAGTGTGCACCAGGTGGGTTCCTTGACTTTTGACAGATGAACACAAGCAAAACTGGATGGGAGCTGCACTGACTTTTCACAGTCGGTACAACAAGGATGACAAGGAGTTTTTGAACCACATTGTTACTGGTGATGAGACTTGGATTTTGCATAAAACTCCAGAAACAAAGTGCCAATCAATGGAATGGCATCATTCCAGATCCCCAAGAAGACCAAAAAAGGCCGAACAAATTCTGAACACCAAAAAGATTATGGCTACAGTGTTTTGGGATCCAAAGGGTGTACTACTCATCAACTACATGTTTAGAGAACATAAATGCAGCATCCTATTGTAAGACCCTTCACTGACTACACCATACCATTCAAAACAAATGGCAAGGGTTGTTGTCCAGAGGCATTGTGCTTCTTCAGGATGACAGATGTCCACATGCTGCTGCATTGACAAAGAACTTGCTTCAGCAGTTTAAGTGGGAAGTTTTTGAACATCCTACTTATAACCCAGATTTTGCTCCGAGTGATTACCATCTTTTCCCAAATTGAAGAATTTTTTGGCCAGGAACCACTATGGAAGTGACAACAAACTGAAAGACGCTATTAATGACTGGTTCAAGAACTTGGCGGTAAATGAGTGTGCAGAAGGGCATAGAAAAGCTGGTGATATGCTATGACAAATGTTTAAATTTGTATGGCACCTACATAGAAAAATAGTTAAGGTATCATATGTGTTGTAAAATAAGTTTTGTTTCATTATATTAAACAAAAATATCTAGAAAAACAAACATTCTTTACTTTTAGAATGACCCTCGTGTGACCTTTTGGGTCGGCACCTCCTTAGTGCCCTGTCAAGATTGACACCACCATGTTTAGCGGAACATGGAAACTGAGACGGCGATTACGTCACACCATCGCACAAGTGGTCCCATACGGGGTCAGACAGATTCGTAAGGTTAATCGATGGAGAGACATGTGGAAGTGACTCAGATAGACTTAACAACTAACAAGGGTTTATTTAAAAATCAATTGGATAAAATGTTGTCACGAAGAGAGAGAGTTCACATACAGTTCGCATGGTGATAAATACCTTTGGTAATAGATATCCCGGTCAGTCGTGTTGAATCAGAGAACAAGGTAATAGTTCTTCTTATGGGCTTTTTCAGGATGTATCCAGGGGTGAAATATCCAATCAAAATGTCCCTTTTGATTTATCCAGGCTCGATCGTGCACTAACACAAACACAAAAAAGGTTATCTTACAGGCGACTATTAAATGGGTGATGATTAAATGGACGACAACTTCTTTCCTCTCCGAGGACTAAAACAGCGACTAACTCTTTTCAGCCATCTCTGGTGATATTCACAAACGATTTCAGCAGTGCAGAGGTTAATAGTTCATGAGAAAGCGTCATGTTGCCTTCGAGAAAATGTAATGGGAGACTTTCTCAGGTAGCTAAGACCAACAATTGTTGCGTAACTCATGCAATGTTACTATTAAAGACTAGTTCTAATATAGGAATTTCTGCTATCTCACACTTGTATATGAAATTAAGACTTTTACAAAACATCTTTAGTAATTAATTTTTTAGTTTTTGAATTCATTAATTTAGCATAGCTTTCACATTGTGTGGATTATTAGATGTCACTAACAAATTGGACATTGTCATCCATTGAAGACCTCGGGACAGAGAACTGCTCCGACTCAGCCGGAGTCTGTATTTCAGTTTAGTCTGGAGCATGAACTCTCCTGACATATAGTAGTGTTGAAATCTACACCATTGTATGATGGTTCACCGACATTCCAGTCAAGTCTGATACAGTAGTTGTCATCACCCAAAGATAGAGAGGGATGTTCTTGTCATTATCAAATGAAAAGACTCATTTCAGATGAATTATTGATTTTCTACTGTATATGAATTACATCACATCCGGGACTGGAGTGATGAATTATAGAAAATTCTAGGAACAAAACACATTTTGAAATACTTTTGTAGTTTTAATTAACACAATATGTAACTTATAACCTATTTTTTACATAAGCTTTCAAAAAACATTTTATCCCATTCTATTTGAAAAGTGTCATTATACATTCGAGAAACATCATCCGACAACTGTTTGTTTTCATCGTCGTTACTTCCATTAAGTGCATCCGATGGCCAAATTTTGTTCCAACTTTGAGACAATGTTTACATGCAGAGTTTTGTTTTTACAAACTTGTTTTTATTTTGTGACACATTGGGTTTTAGACATTTTTAATAACGAAATTGTTCAAAGCAAAACCACAGTCTTTTTAATGTACAAGGTAAACAAAGGTTCAAGTATGTCTTGTCAAATGATATATAAAACCATAATTTATACCTATGTGAAAAAATTACATAATTACAGTTATGAAACAAATTTCTAATCACAGTGCAAAATCTTGTTAATCTCCTTGTTCACTATCTAGCAAATCTAGTAATCTGGCACAGATGGACACTGTACCAAATATACTTTTGATCTCAGTTTCAAATGAGCAAAAGAAACCATATAAATTCAAGGAATATTCTCAGACCAAGAAGACTGCATAAAGAGTTCAAAAAATATCATTCCAATAGAAACAATTTCACTGCACTTTTTGTTTTTCATTTTATGAGAGATGATAATGTGCACAGATTCTGTATATAGTATGTACTGTTTATCAAAAATAAATGCATACATACTTACCCACTCTCTGTCAATTACACTTAAGAGTTTCTGCGAATTCTGATTTCCGAATAATCATCTGTTTTCACATGGGAATGGATTAAAACTTATATCGGGCTCCTGTGTGATTTTGGAATTTCAATTCAGAATTCAATTCAAAAGCTTTGTTTTTCCTATTGCTATTCATCTTTACTCCTGACAATAAACAAGAATGTGAATTGGCTTGATACAAACAACCCAGATAAAATACTTTTGTTTTTAAACCCCAGAGGGGGAGCATCTGGTAAAAAGTGCAAATACACAATTCACAAAAATTATTGCAAAAACGCAAAGAATCTCGCTTGCATGTATAAGACAACCTAGGTTTTTGAAGCAGTGAAAAATGAATAAAAACCTCATCTTATACGCGAGTAAATACGGTATATATCTCAGATTACACATATATTAAGTTGTAAAGATAAAATTTGTATGCGCACGATATAAAATAATCATATATCAATTATTAAGACTGCATACAATTAAACAAATTAAGAAATTGAATTCACTTACATTACTGTATTAATCCCTGCAATCTGCTGGAACATCTGCAGACTGCAACCCACCAGCAGTGCTCTTCGTAGAGCTGTGTGTCGAAGTACTTGCATAAGTATAGATGACGAGCCTATCGATTTTTAGGAAACAAAAAATTTATTAATAAATCAAAGGTTAGATCTTGTTTTTGAATAACCAAATTTGATGCAAGAAAATAACCATTTTATTCTACCAGATATTTTTTCCTTTAAGAAGGAGCTATAGTATATAAATTTTAAATCAACTGCACATTAAGAATAAACAGATGGTTTAGCCAGTTGCAGAGCCATCATCAGTTTTAAGAACGTGCATTTAAATAAATTTTCAGAATAAATGTGAGATAACATTTAATGTTTTTATTTTAAGCTTAAATTCAATTGTATATATTTATTTAAATTTGTATTCTTGAAACTGAAGAAGTCTTTGCAACTAACAAAAACATTTAATTATATTAAAATTTAATCTACTAAAAAAGATGTAATTTCTTTATTTCAATATATATGGTGATCAAACGAAAATTTTATTTGTTAGTAGTAGTCTTGGTGGGACCAGAAAGAAGTTACTAACTTGATAGCATTTGATATGCAATTTTTATGGCCATTATTATATATCTGTTGAACTCTTTTTGAATTCTGTAAATACAGTTAAACAAATGAAGTTCTTCCTGAACTCTGTTGATACACCTTATATTAGGTGTATCAACAGAGTTCAAAAAGAACTATTTTGCATCACCTATACTGATGATGCAAAGTAGCATATTTAAGCTATGCTCACAATTTTAAGTGATATCATCAGTAGTACTGAGTCAAAAAATGCAATTTATTACATATAATGTCATACTGAAATTCAATGTTACACCATAGATTCACCAATATCATTAATGAGCACTGTTGCAAAAACTTACCATTCACAGTTATGAAAGTAAAAAACAAAAAGTGTAATAGCATAAGTAGATTCAAAATATAGAACCCAAACAGTTATTTTTTTATTGATTGGAATCCCAATACTTTGTACGAGTCACCTTGAGCCTTAATAATGACTTAGGAGTGGATGAGTTTTTTGAAGTATTCTATACCAGTGGTCACCAAACTTTCTGACCACAGACCACTAGATTCACAATTTTGAATCCCACAGACCACTATCGTGAGTTTTTTTAAACAATACAAACATCTATAGAATAATAATCATAAAAGTTCCATTTTACTTTATTTTAAAATATAACAAATTAGTATGAAGTTTGTTGCTGCTTGTGGATTCTTGGCTCTTTTCCACAAAGGACAACAATTGCACTTGCATTATTTATTGTTGATTATTTACTGATTTATTGATATTATTTATTAATAACAGTCATTCTGTGTGTGATTTTAGATTCAAATAAAAATACCCCAAAGAGTGAGAAGAAACGTTTTCCATTTCTTTCATAATACTTTATGTAACCTTCAGCTAATCGATGTCCAAATTTCTCCACAGACCACCTGTTAGTGACCTCTGTTCTATACCAAGCTCATGATACCAAATTCTTCTATACTCCTGCAATTGCTATTTATTTTCAGGCCTCTTCTCAATTCTTATGCCAGTAATATGCCAGCAGTTTTCAACAGAATTGAGATCAAGATTGTTACCTAGTCAGCTTAGGTATCTGATCTGGTTCCCTTGTGGAAATTTTTATTATCTATTTTAAGCTACAATTTGGATGTTAATTTAAATAACAGGGTGTCTTTCACAGTTTGTTAGCATTATTGTCACCTTGCCAAGTTGGCAAATGGGATATATAGTGCAGAGTTGTCCTGAAAGATTCAAAATTTAGTACTATAAAATTGTTTCTTGATTGCTGGAATTAGGTTGGCAGATAAGATGTTTTTCTAGTACACTGCATTCACAGAACTATTTTAAGTGTAGTCTTCTAACATCTTTACTGGATATGCATACCATACGATTGACTCATTGGAACTTTATTGTCTGCATCATGCAATCTCTACACCTAATATAGGGTTTTCTGTCAGATCTCTGCAGGTTAAATGTGAATTCATCTGAAAATATAAAAGAATTCCACATATTAATGTTCCATTTTAGTTTATCTAGTCTAAACACCATGCACTCTGTGCATTTTACTTGTACAGCTTCTTACTTGGACTTTAGACTTTTTAAACCTATCATCCATGTAAGTCTCTCATTTCCTATGTTACAGAGAAATTACACAGTTTGTGTACTTATTTTTAAGCCTGCTCTTCCCATTTTACTTTCAGGTGAGAAAAATTAGCAGTATATTCTTGCAGGCTGAGATGCTTCAGCATCCTCTCCTGGCATGGCATATTCACACTTTACCACCTGATCTGGCCTTTTCTTTCAATGTTCGTGTCTGTAACAAATTCACGGCTGTTGATAAGAATGTACACGCTACACTATTTCATGAGAAGAAAAACTTTCAGCATTCAAAGCAACAATTACAGACTTTTTATACTGTGTTAATTGTGACCCAGAGATAACATTGACAACATCCTTTCTAAGATACAAAATATTATCAACTGCTTCCAAGGGGAGAACATCATCATTGCTGGAGATGCAAATTCTCACTCCCCCTGCTGGGGGGGGTGATCAGCTTGACAACAGAGGTAACATTCTTGAGGATTTCTTTGCTTCTAATAACCTTTCAGTCATCAACAACCCATTCTCTCCACCTACTTTTACCTCCAGCAGAGGAAAAAGCTGGATCGACATTACGACATGTTCCACCAACTGCCAACCCCTCATCTCTGACTGGAAGGTTCTCTCGGAAGACTCTCTTTCTGGGCACTCTTACATCACCTTCACCTCCAAGACACCTACCTATCCTAGTCGCAACAGAAAGTATAACATCTCTCGTGCTAACTGGCTTGGGATTCAACGCTATCTCACTACACATCTTGTAGACTCCGACAACCAGAATATAGACTCTACTCGTCACTCACTGGACACCAACATACAGCTCATTTCCAACGCCTGTGAACTCTACATTCCTAGGACTTCCCCTAAAGGAAGACAGGTTCCATGGTGGAATCATACCCTTTCCGACCTTCGTAAGACCAACAACCGACTTCGCAAAATATACCAACGTACTTTCATGGAACCCGAACGTTCTACCCTCAGAACTCAATACCTTCAACATCAACGGATCTACAAGAAGGAAATTAAGAAATCCAAGCTCAAATCCTGGCGTGACTACTGCTCCAAGGCCTCTAATAATCCTTGGGGCTACATCATGAAATTATGTACCAACAAGCTACGACACAGTCACATTATTTCTACGACTAATATTAATGATACATATACTAAAAACCTGGAGGAGACACTTCAGGCCCAAATGGATAACTTCTGCTTTAGAGACCCACCTGAACTGGACAACAACTTCCATAGTAATATTAGAAACAACACCCATGATAATATAAATACTGCAGACATGCCGCCATTCATTTATGAGGAAATAGATCACATATTCAACACTCTCAAACGAGGTAAAGCCCCTGGTGTGGACTATATCACAACAGATATTGCCAAGCAAATTTGGAGACTCATTCCCGATGCCCTACTACAGATTTTCAATAGCTGTCTAGAGCATGGCATTTTCCCCAAAGCCTGGAAAATTGCCAATATTATACCCATTCCAAAACCAGGCAACCCTGATGACTACCGCCCAATTTCTCTTTTACCAGTAATGGGAAAGGTCTTGGAAAAACTAATTAATAACAGGCTCATCTGGCATGTTGAAAAAGGCAATTACCTCAGCAACCACCAATATGGTTTCAGACCTCAACGTTCTGTCCCCCAAGCCATCAACACCGTCGTCAGCAACATCAAGTCCTTACTCAACAACTATAAATACATCCTAGGCATCAGTCTAGATATTTCCAAGGCCTTCGACCATGCCTGGTGGCCTCTCATCTTACAGCATCTTAAAGATATCAACTGCCCTTCTAACCTATACAAACTTATCAAAGACTATCTAAATGACAGAGTGGCCATCCTCCAATATGGCGATCACAAGTGTGTGCGGAAGGTGGAGCGTGGCTGCCCACAGGGGTCTGTATGCGGCCCCACCCTATGGAACATCGCGTTTGATTCTTTTCTTAACGAGGACTTCGGACAAGATTCCATCACAGCTTATGCCAATGATGTTATCCTTCTTATCGGCAGTAATTCCAGAGCAGGGCTAGAGCACCGAGCGGACTTGGTATTAAAAAACATTTGCACTTGGGGAGAAAACAACAAACTTAGCTTCAATGCTCACAAAACCAAGTGTATTATGTTCAATAAACCTCATAGTAAAAATTTATATGCCCGTGTCCCAACAATCAAGATGAATGGCAAATCTATTAGAGTAGCTAAATCTTTAAAATACTTGGTAATTACTCTAGACCCAACTCTTACTTGGACCCAACATATCAAGAACATTGCAGATCGAATTGGACTTATCTTTCATACTTTTGGCAAGTACACAAAAAATAATTGGGGCCTCAACTCCGAGGCCATGGCGACCATATATGACTACATTTTTATCCCAACCTTGACCTATGCTTGCGGCACCTGGGGGCAGGCAGCCCACAAAGTCCATCCTCGCAGGTCCTTAACATCAGCACAACGCAAAGCTCTGCTCCTTATTACAAAGGCCTATCGTACTGCCCCGACTGTTGGTTTGCAGGTGATTGCTAAGAAACCTCCAGTCGAGATGGTCATTGACGTTTTTCACAAGCATTGGAGGCTTAAATGGGGGCACGACACTAATATTAACCCCTCCCACCGCATCTGTGCCAAAGATCTGGAAGTAACCACCCCTTTCTATCTAGTTCAGTTCCCAGGCCATCGTAATCCGATTAATTTTGACGTTAATATAAATACCAAAATTGAAGTTTTTACAGACAGCTCCAGAATGGACAATCATGTTGGATGCAGTTTTGTGGCCTACTGTGATGGCAACGAAATCTTCCACGAGCGACTTCGACTTGCTGACCACTGCTCCGTCTTTCAAGCCGAACTTTTTGCCATCAATTCTGCCCTCCAATGGTGTGAAAATAACTACAAAAGCCATAACATTAATATTATAACTGACAGTCAGGC